GAAAAAGGCATAAATATAGGAAAATGTGAAATGTAAGAAGTTGGTCATCCTTACCTTGGCTCTTGTCAAAAACATCATGTCCTGCAACTGTGGTAAATAATGTCATGGGTTAAAAACAAAAAGACAGGTGTATCTTCACAAAACAAATCGTTCTTCATGATTCATATAGTATATTTTGAATACATGACAAGTTAACAATTTCTTGAAGGTCACAAACTCATAAAACTAATAGGAATACTTGTTCAAAAAGCCTTTGGCAAAAAGAGAGACCAGCAATAATAAACATGTTCATTTAGAAGATCAGAAACTTCTCCCACACACATAGGGAAGACCTTACACTGCAATGATGAAAAATGTTTGTAATGAGTCAATGGTGCTTTCCCTCCAAGTTGCATTTAATTTGCCAGCCAACTGCACAAAGTCTAATATAACAAAATGAAAGATTTATACTTCGTAGACACTCAAGGAGTTTTGTGTTTGAGCAGGTTTTCTTTTACAGAAAAAAAAAAGCATAAAAATGAGATAACATAACAACATTGAGGATCATACCAAAGAACTTAGGATACTACCACATGAACATGGAGCTTTGTAATTAGAATCTAATAACCTCAAATAACCTTCCAGTATAAGGGGTAAAAAAAAGCCACTTTCTGCTCTAAAAATTATCATACACTTAGATAATTATGAAATGAAATTTGCAAATAGCCACCAGTGCATTTTTGCTTCCAAAGACCAATATCATACTGTCAAAATACATAAATCACTAAAAATGCTAATAGAATGATACTCTCCAAAGGGACTCTTTTCACACACCAAATGGAATTAAGTATTCATCAAGTTTCCATTAATAAAATAGTGAAAAAGAAATCCAAAGTTCTGTTGGGCCCTCCACTCTGCCTATTGGTAGTGTTGGCCTTCCTGTCTGAAATTGCAGACCGTCTCCCAAGTTAATCTGATCAACAGGGAAGCTCAAGGACTAGTGTCTGTGAAGATTGTTTTCTAAAGATCATTTTTTTCAGGAACTAATCAACTTAAATGTGTTTTTACAAATGGTCCATCTGCAATTTTACACCAAAACCTGACCTTCAGCATATACAAGATAAGCAAATTAGGTACTTGGAAAGACAGAAAAGCAAGTGCTGCATCCTCCTGACACAGCTCCTAACTCGAAAGGCCCTTCTCACTCAGAGTCCAGTGTTCAAGAGGTAGGGAGAGCACATGCTTCTGCATTATCTTTTTTTTTTTTTTATTTGGGGTACTGGGGTATCCTTTTTCTTAAAGCAAAGATAGGGCTAACATTTCAGACTTAATTCTAAATTATTATCCTGGCAACACTTTAACATTAAATTTGAAAATGAACTTTGTTCCACTCAACATATCACTCAGAGTGCTCTTTCCAGATTAGGAGATTTCAACATAAAGGAATCACCACAAACAATACTACATATTAACTTATCCCTACCTATACGGTTATTATCATCTGAAAGACATGTCAGGATGGACAGATATGCCTGGAGCTCCTGTTCCAGGCCTTCCATTTAAAATATGGTCTCTATCATATTTAGGTAACTGTCAACCTATTAAGTCTCCATCTCTAGCCTAGAAAGCTAAAGAATAAAAAATGTTGAATAAGGTCCAAAAAAGAGTTGCCTCAGGCAGAATTTATATCAATGTTGTTTTAAACACAAAATATTGCACTCATCTTGGCTGAGAGAGCAAGAGATCAATCACTAGTCCCTAAGATGGAGAGGGAGAATGGTTGGAAATCTGTGCTAAATCTTAAGAAAGGACTTTGCAAGAAGAGAAAATAAAGCTCAATGTCAGTTAACAAGCAAATGTGCTATTTCAAAAAAATAGAAAACAAGAAATCTAGAAATGAACAGAGCCCAGGAAATGGATCCAGATCCTTTTTGTAAAGCCTTTCCAAGTGGTGTTAATTTATTTCATCTTGACTAGAAACTGAACAAATTAGCAACAGCTTGTGTTTTATGAAATGCTACAAAGTAACAGTGCTATCATTCCAAGTGTTACTCTGAAGATGTGGAACCCCAGAAATTACTGCCATTCATCTTAGTACATTTAATTTTCTTTCAATGTCATAAACGCCCTTACTAAATCCATTAAAGGCTCACTATTATTTGTTAAAGGCTAGCTTTTCATATGACCCTAGATTCACTCATACATTCCAAATTGCCCATATTCCTAATGGCAATACGAGATTGCTTTTTAAGTTAAAGAGCCTTAAAAACACTTATCCAACTCATTACAAAATTTTCTAACATTTTTTTAAATTTAAAAAAATTAAAAACATTTGAAAATATAAGGAAAATCTACCATTAAACTGACCAAAATGACAATATTACTGCTGTTAAAATAATTATTAGAGCAAAAAAGAAGACTGTCCTCTTTTAACTAATAAACTTGATAATTATAAATTTTCATCCATTAGAAATGAAAAGACAGAAACATACATATCATAATGAATTATCAATAACTGGTAATTCAAAGTGACTACAGAGCAGAATCGTCCAGGAAAAATATTACAGCTATGTTACAACTTACCCAGCCATTCTGTAAATTCTAATTATTCTGTCTTCTATGCTTAAAATATAAAGTCAGAACCTTTCACAGATTTATGATCCCAGGAAGTTGGTCATCCCTTACATACTAAAAGAAGTCAGTAATGACCTGCAAAGGACATTTTTTAGTTCCCTGGGCTCTCAGGCAAGCAGTCACCTGACTTTTACAAGCTACAACCAAGTTTCATACAAAAAGGAAAGATTAATTCCTTGGAGTCTTAAAAAGAATGGGACAATAGCTTCCTTCCAGCAAACCAATTTTGTCAATCTTTAAAGGTTTTGGGTGACAAAGCCCTAGGCATCCTTAAGGCATCTTAGCCCCCTGCTAAGATGAATAAGTATAGTTAATTTGCTGAACTCTAAAACCAGAAACCATAAGCTGATTAGTGAGTAGGAGGTTGATAAACATTTGTGGAGAAAGTAAACTAGATGGGCGCATGGAAGACTAATGAGATCCCAAATAAATGCTACCCTGTAGTAAGTACAATGGTAGAAATTTTGAAAGAAGGGGCTAAATTTGAAAGTCACTTAAAAATAGGATCCACATGACCCTAACTTTATGAAGTAAAGTTAAATCAAAACTGTGTGAAACACAAGAAATAAGAAAGGAAAATGGCCTATAAAACGGCAAAGAGAGAAAACTTAAATTGTCAGTTTGACTAACTTGGGGTGGGAGAGGATACTGGGGATAGAACCCAGGGATGCTTTACCCCTGCACTACATCCCCAGTCCCCTACACCCACCTGGCTTTTTTTTAAAACAGTGTCTCACTAAGTTGCCAGGGTAGCATCAAGCTTGCAACCCCCTGCCTCAGCTTCCTGAGTTGCTGGGATTACAGACATGTGCCATCAAACCTACCTTCCAAGCATGTTAACTCTTAAATATTGTTTACACGTGTATTTATAGGTATAGCCACCCATAGATACATCATAGATACCTATGCTGACATTGAATATGATAAATTGAACATCCCTAATCAAAAATAAAATATGCTCCAAAATTCAAAATTTTTTCAGAACTATTATGACATCACATTTGGAAAATTATTCGTCTGACCTTATGTGATGAGTCAAAGTCAAAAAAAATACTAAAAATGCTATATAAAATTACCTTTTGGCTATAAAGTCTATATGAAACAAATTTTGTGTTTAGATTTGGATCATTTTCTCAGGTCATCTCATCATACATGTGCAAATATTTCAAAATCTGAAGAAATCCAAAACACTTCCAGTCCCAAGCATTTCAGGTAAAGCGTATTCAACCTATACTAAAATATATGCCTCTGAAGAATGCACAGTAATAGAATTGTTGTAACTTAGGGTGAACAATCTTCTATTGTCTTGCTCTTGAAAGATGTTAATGAAACATAATAATAACACAACTGTGAGTGCACTAGTCTGAGAACAATTCATTACAACCAGTTTTATATAAGAAGTTAAATAGCCATGCAAAGATGATGGTGCACGCCTGTAATCCCAGCAGCTTGGGAGACTGAAGAAGGAGGTTGGTGAGTTCAAAGACAGCCTCAGCAATTTAGTGAGACCCTAAGCAACTCAGAGAGACCCTGTCTCTAAATAAAATATAAAAAATGTCTTGGAATATGGCTCAGTGGTTAAGCCCCTCTAGGTTCAATCACCAGTACAAAAGAGAGGGTGGGTATATAGAGAGAGAACGTTAAATAAGGAGAGTTACAAGAGGACTCGGGATGGATTTCCCTGGATTACCAGTTTTTTCAATAACATAAAATACTATTCAAACTACACAAAATTATTTTACATGCATACCTCCTAAAGAAAACAAAATGAAAAAAAAATAAGAAGAACATGGATGTGTGTATTTAATATCTATCCAGCCACCCTCGGTTTTTTGACACATCCAATATACAGGCCCTGTCCTCAAAAATCATTGTTATTTTAATGGGTTGAAATTAAATACAGTTCTTTATTGCAAATGCAAAAAGCAACTTGGTTATTTTGATAGAAGGCATAACATTTTTCTCTTCTAAAATGTATGTTTAACACCTTCCAAACTGGTTTGTATGATTTATAGACATTAATAGTATTTTGTGCTCCCCCTATTGGTTAATATTAAAAATAACAATGAATTCCCCAGGGATTGCCTTTGAAGTTCTTGTGTTCAAAAGTTAAGTTGGTGATTTTATATTTAAAAACATGAGCCGAATCAACAGTTGTTAAGCAAAGCTGTCAGATTCCATCACAACAGGAAAAATTAACGCTGACAAATGACAAAGACAAACTAAAGGGCAAAAAATATGCTGAAGCTTTGAAACACCAAACAATGTAGAAGTAAAGCCAAAAGCAGAGAACACCAAGAAACAGAGCAACATCCTTTAACTGACACAATGGCATGAAATCAATTCCATTTTAATAGCCCTTAAGGGGGTAAGAATTATTTCCCTACCTCCTGTGCCAGCCTCAAGCTGTTTCCTAAGGAAGCCAAGTAACGGTGATCAACAATGTCTGGAAAATTAATAAAAGAAATTAAGAATAAAGATCCATATTAACACAAGTCAGTTCTATTTATAATTATTTGGAACCAGTTTCAGAGGAACTGAAATTTTATATATACATACATATATTTTTTTCACCTAAATTAATCACAGATATGTTATCTAAGTTTCAAAAGATGTGTTGAACTCAGAAGGGAAGCTGGGTGATGAGTGAAGGTCATCTATTCACCACACACAAATCTGACTGCTCTCTGCCCAGCTGATTAAGCTAGTTGAGGAGTTAGAACTAATGAAAAGTTGGGCATGATCTTGGGCAAGTAACTTACCCTCTACAGTCTTATCTGTAAAGTGGGACTATTAATAGTGTTTTCACCATAGAGTTGATGTGATGCTTAAGTGCCACCAGGTCAGTACAAACACAAAATTTCTGGTACATAGGAAGGACTCAATAAACATCAGTTATTACTACCGAAAAGATACAGGTGAATTCACACTGAAGTAACTGCAGTATGAAATACCCTTTCAGGAAGATGACAAGATCTTGACCTGTTTTGTGACGACTTCTATCCTCCCAAACCTATCACTTCATCTAGTGAAGATGGAACTCAGAAAACGCCTGGTTCCGCGTCTCAATCTGTCACTCCTATAGTCCCCCTACCCTCACCGCTGTGTCACGCCAATTCTGGGACAAACACTGCTAACACCTGGCAACACTTCCCTGGCGCCAGGCACTACTCTAGCACCTTGCACAAAAAAACTCGTTCAATCCTCACAGCAACATTTGGGGGACCAGTACTGTTATTCCCATTTCACAGCTAAGGAAAAGGGACGATTTTACTGCCTTAGCTTTCTGTATGGACCCCAAATCCATAGGGTTCTATCTGCCAAGGTAGGGCATGCTTGACATGCCGGTTCCCCTACACTATGTGATTCTGGAAAGTGCCCTAATAAGAACAAGTCGGATTCTTCTAGCAATAGCCCAAGATTTCTAAGTTTGTCCGAACCAAGTTAACACACTTAAGTGAGCCTTCAAAATAAATCGCGAAGAGCGGCCAAGTTAATGCGGGTGAGTACTCCTCTGGGGCTGCAGCAGCAGCGCTCGGCACAACCCGAGGAGCACCCCCGGGGTGCGGCCGGCTAGGAGCGCCGGGTCGCGTGGGTGCGTGAGTCCTGGAGACGCGGCCTCTGCCACAGCAATTGAGTGCAAGCCCACAACAAACCTTTCCCACTGACGCTGTCACGCGCAGGGAGGGAAGTGGCCTGCGCACCCCACAGAGGTCAGAAGGAACCACAAAAAGGAAGAGTGAAAGCGGGCTTGGAGAATCCCTCCCCAGCACTGCGCATCGCCCCGAACGCTGGCCACCGGTGACGGCCGCTTCCCACGCACCTCAGGTCCTGGCTTCTCCGAGTATAAACACCGTCAGACCAAGGCCGCCCTCCCAAGTCCAGGGGTTCTGCCGTCCGAGGCGACCCCAGCAGCTAAGCAAGCACCAACAGCCCGCGCTCCAGGGACTCGCAACGCGCAGCCTGCAGAGCCCGCGGCCCGGCGGGTGACCAGCAAGCTGCACAGCCAGGGAGTCCCGGCTGGCACTGCAGAGCTGAGCGGACCAGCCGGCACGTACCTCCAAGGCGGTGTGTCAAGAGGAGATCCACCCGCGGCAAATTGGAGGAAAGCAGAGCAAAGTTTCCCCGCCCAGCACTCGGCGGCTGAGAGCTCCGGCAGCTGCTGCGCCGCGGCGCAACTACGCCATCCCGACCCGCCGGGGACTTTCACCTCCTGCAGGGAGCTCCGAGAATCACGCAGGGAAAGTGGCCGGCACGAGAGCCACCGACTTCCCTCCCTCACTCTCTGAGAAGAGGAAAGTGCCGCTTGGCGTCCCCGAAACCCTCGATTACCCCCATCGGGCCGACCCAGCGCATTCGCTCTCGCTCACACACACACACGCGGGCGGGGTCGGGCAGGACGCCACAGCAATCAGCGCGCGGGGGGAAGGGCGCTTCTCCGCTGCGTCCCCACCGGGGGCTCTGGGCCGCCCAGAAACTCCTCCTCCCGCCTCCCGCCTCCTCTCTCCTCCCCTTAGCCTCCCCGGCTGATGGATGAGCCCCAAGAGCAGCTTAAGCCTGCGTCTCCCTTCGGGCGGAGAAGCCAAGGAAGAGAAGGAGCTCCGGGTGCGGCCGGGCTCAGAGCGCCCAGGTTGGGACAGCGGGTAGGAAGAAGAGCGGGCAACGCGCTACGACGAACTACAGGACTCGCTCCCTCAAACTAGATCCTGCAGACTTTCCAGCTCTGGAGGAGCTGAGTTTTTATTTGGCTCATCTGTCTCGATATAAAAATTCTAAAACCGCAGATAAACTCATCACACCCTCTGCCCACGCCCCAGCACAGCACCCCCGCACACATAAATTCTGCCCTATTTGTTTTTTCCCCAACCTCTAATCCTGCTTGTAATCTCAAGGTACATTCTGACTGTGGACGCTAGCAGAGTCTTTTCTCTTCCTTGCTGACAGTTGAGGGTGCACTACCCTGCCCTTTCCCCAGCTAGCTAAATCAATTAATTACATATAATGGAAAGAGATCCGCATTTCTGGAGTCACCCTAAGGTCGGCAGCATGGTGAACAACAGGTGGGCGGTGCGACGTCCAGCATGCACGTGCCTGTGAACTGCAACCTGCAGGAGTTGAAAGGGTAATGAAAACACTGCTTTGATCCTCTGTTTACACCCCGTATTTGTATTAAAAGGTATACAATATAACAGGACACTCTTGTACAAATGACCATGAACTGAATGGCGTTTCAGAAACATGACTTCCAATCCTGGCTCTGCCATTGAGTTAAGTAGTTGAGGGGTAGAGCACTTACCTAAGCATGAGCAAGGCCCTGTGTTCAATCTCTAGTTTGTTTGGTTGGTTTGGATTTGTTTGCTTTTGTTGTTGTTGTTGTTGTTGTTGTTGTTTGGGATTTTTTTTGTTGGTTGGTTGGTAATGAGTATTGAACTCAAGGGCACTCGACCACTGAGCCACATCCCCAGCTTTATTTTGTATTTTATTTAGAGACAGGTTCTCACTGAGTTGCTTAGCACTTCGCTTTTGCTGAGTCTGGCTTTAAACTTGCAGTCCTCATCTGTCAACCTCCAGAGTCACTGGGATTACAGGCCTGTGCCACTGCTACTGGCTGAGTCCCTAATAACACACAGAGAGAGAGAGAGAGAGAGAGAGAGAGAGAGAGAGAGAGAAGTCAAGTCCTAGATAATTTAGGAGTGTCTTTAAAGACTGATAAAGTGACTGCTCTTTGTGGAACCACATTCACACTCTCCATGATCAGCTTTTGAAGAAATAACTCTATACCAGGCAGGATACGAAATATTGTATACATATGGACTCAGTGCTATAAACCCTATTATAAAGGGAAGTCATAACTTACCCAGAGTATATGCTATTAAGTGGGAGGACCAGGATTCAAACCCACTTTTGCCTACCTTGGAACTCAAGCCTTCAATAACCTGGTTATACTACCTGTCACCAAAGGTTTGCATATTGGCAAAATTAAATGGCTTTTTTAAAATTCAGGAGTAGTTTTAGTAGATGACATGGGAAAGCACAAGAAATTTATTAGTGTGTACAAAACTAATTTGCTTTTCAAAGGCTGAGGTTTGAACTTGGAACCTCTGGTATTCTAAGCATGAGCTCCACCACTGAACCACACCCCCAGCCCATCATTAAACTGATAATATTGTTAGTAGAAATCCTAGCTGAGCACAGTGGAGCATGTCTGTAATCCCAGCAACTTGGAAGCCTGAGGTAAAGAAGATCATAAGTTCCAGGCCAGCCTGGGCAACTCACTGAAGCCCTGTCTCAAAATAAAATTTTAAAAAGGGGCTGAGGATGTACCTCGGTGGTGGAGCACCCCTGGGGTTCAATCCCCAGGGTTTTTGTTTTTTACTGCAAAAAACAAAAACAAACAAAAAATATTAGCAGACAGAACAACCAATATTATTAGCAGACAGAAATCCAGGTATCTGAAGCATAGAGTTTAAAATAAACTTAAATTTTTGTTTATCTGGAAAAGCTCCTCAAAATTCCCCCTGTCTTCCGCCCCCCTCCCTTTTTTTAGACAGTGTATGGCTTTGTTGTCCCCACAATCCTCAAACTGGCAATCCTCCTGCCTCGGCCTTTGGAGTAGTTGGACCTACAGGCTCGTATCACCATTCATAACATTAGCTAATTACTGAAGGGGTGGATCCTTTTCTTTCATTGTTCTTAAAATGTGGGACTCTTTTTGAGTTATAATATTTGTTCATATACCAGCTTCCTTTTAGTCCAAGATGGTATCTTGATCATTTGTTCTGATCAATTCAAAAAGAATTATAAACAGAGGGCTAAAATAAAGATGTGCTTTATCTTACTTGCATAAAAATGTTTGCAGAAAATCTCTGTGATTTACGTAGGCTGTGTCTATCACAAGGAACCCCCCCTCCTCCCTGCCAGGTATGGACCTGCTCAATGACTCATAGAGGCATGTCCCCAGATTCTGTTGATTAGCAGACAACTAAACAAATTCCTACTAAACTGTCACTAATGTCATATATTGGATCTACCCTGGTACATTTCAAAAAAAAAAAAAAAGTCTCAATTTTCTGAAAAGACCGTATCATTAGAAAATCATTTGGTTGAATTTCTTTTTAAGTAAGTCCTAATATAGTACTTAGCACAAGCTTCATAAATTACAAATTTTTACTCATTAAATCCTGAATCAATTCTACTATCCTCATTTTTACAGATTAAAAAATGAAGCATAGAGAAGTTAGGTAATTTGCCCAAAGTCACACGACAGCAAGCAGCAGAGCCAGGAAGCAGAGCCAGGTGGTGGCCTGGCTCTAGAATCTCTATTCTGAACTTCTACTTTGTTCACAGGTGAAAGGTAGCCATTTTCCACTCCTGCAGAAAGTCTATCAAGTCTTTAATTCTCAGTTGGTTTTCAAAAGATAAAAAAGCAAAAGTTTGTTTGGAGAAATATTACCCCACCACCAACACATAAAAGTAGATTCCTTTTGGCTAGTAAAGAACACTAACATAAAGTTTGTCTAATACAGCCAACATCTTGGAAGCAATTGCACAACTACTCTTAAGAATGTGTGACAGAACGAGAACCAAATGTTCCAAAATTGTTGTGACAGAATACTGGTCTACAAACTACAGCATGTGCTCTCATTTTCTGCTCAATCTATTAATACAGACAGATTTATTACTTTTTTTCTAAACTTCTAAAGATTCCAATTCATACTTGTAGGTGTTTTATATGTCATCATAATCTAAGGTTATAATTTAAAGCCACATTTTCTATATCTGTGCCTGAATGAGAATTTAGTTTTCACAGATAAAATTTGCAGCTGGCAAATTTCAAATTAATGAGAAAAAAATACTCGCAAATGAACCTGTATGCAGAGCAGAGTCCCAAACAGTCACCTGATTCAGACCTCAGAGAAATTGGAAATAAAAATCCAAAGTAAATTCCCTTAGTGTAATCTTGCTTTCCCACAAACTTGCCATTTCCTGTGACCCGGCAGGAGCCTCCAATAGAGGATTCTACCATACACCTTCAATTTCCTCCTCAGCAGGATTCTGATGGAGCAGGAAAGCTCACACTATTTCAAAGTGACAGCAAAACCCACCCAGAGATTCATGGTTTTAGCTCCTGGGTGATAGAGCAGAGCCTCCCTCCTCTCCCTGCAGGTGCTGGGATTCCAGAGAGAGGTTCAGCCCCTACACCCTTCTTCACAGCTGCCCTGAAGAGAACTAGCCCTTTTATTTTGTTTTCTGTATTTGGTTATTGTTTCTCCTGGTGGTGGTGGGGGGGTGGTGTTTGTTTGTTTGTTGTTGATTTGTTTATTAGGTTTGAGCCTGCAGAAGAGGAAAAAGAAAGTGTTATGGATTATGAAATGTTATTTTTACATTTAGTGAGACAAAAAAAAAAAAAAAACAGGGCTACACCTCTTAGCCCCATAACTCAAGCATGCCAGAGCAGAGTTTTCTGAAATTGAACTGAAGTTTCACTGATCAGCTGAGGGTCTCCCCCACCTCTCTGTCCTGGGGTTGCATCTAAGCTCAGGAAGGCTTGCATGGAGCAGAGATGAGTGAGGGCTATCTCACCCTCGGGAGCCATCCTCTTGTCAATGCTTGTTTCATAATGAACATGTGTCATTTTCACCAAAAATCATAAGATTATTATTCCTTTATATTTATTCTCTTTTCTTTTATAAAGATACAATGAACATAAGCAAACATCTTAGGATCACTGGATGTTTAGCAGCTAATCCAGGTACTAATCATTTGATTAACAACTGAGCCTTGATTTTCAGTAAGGACTCCCTTAAGGGGAGACCATGAGCACCTCACAATCCTATTTACATTAGTCTCCATAAGAAATCCAAGCTTGGATTTGTTAACTGCTGTAACCTCTCCCATCACAATTTCAATCCTTCCTCTCTAATCACTAATCCCTATCTTTCCAACTCATCGCCTTTAGAATCTTAGTTCCAGTAACCAAATGACCCTACCAGAATTTCCAGTCTATTGGCCTTACATGTTTCACCATCTACAACCATGACTGAGTCAATTTAAACGTGTGACAGTAATCCTCAACAGGCCTTTAGTGCTGCTCTGCAGACCTACTGTTTGCCCTGTCAGCTCACTCTGCCACCCTTCAAGAGACTTGTTTTGCTTCTCTTCCTCTGTCCTCAAATCTTCAATACCTTCTTCCTCTCCTTGAATTCAGCATGACTTTGCTTCTTATTTTACTGAGAATATTGAAGCCCTCATAAGAAAACATCTTCCTCTTCCCACCACCACAATCTACCAGCTAATCTATCACTCTACTTTCTCTGTCATCCCAGAAGAACTGGCCTTCTCCTTCAGTGAGCTGGATTCCATTCCTCCAACTACTCAAGGACTTTCATCCTGTAGTAATCTC